GTTTCCTGACTTTTTGGGGGCCCGCCCCCCCCCCTTTCCTCAAAGCCACCCAACCCTGCTCTGGCTGAGTGCGCGAGAAACGCCCCCTCCCAGACACAGCACATTGCGAGCTCCCCAAGAGCCTCTCAAGCCACTGGCCTGATCTTTCCAGTGCTGCAGAGTCATGGGACCCCAGAGAGGCCAGGCCAGACTCCCTAGACTCTGCTGTTAATTAGCAAGTCCTCCCCTCCTTTTGTGGTGCACAGCCAGGTCCTTACACCTGATGGCTCAGAGAGACCAGTGCAAGCCCCCGGCTCCCCTAAAGCCTCATGTCCCGATGAGCGCTCAACAGGGAGACTGTCTAGATCCCCAACTTCTCTATTCCAGTCCCTACAGGCTACAAATACTAGACACACCTAGACTGCCATACATCAACAAACAAAACACAGGCACACCCGCAGGAGACTGCTGAATTTTCAATGGGACCATGTAACACATTTGCCAGAGACTAATCCTGTAAGAAGTGAAAACTGAGGGCATTGGATGGAGACACTAGCTTCATTGCTGCTCCCCCTTGAATCTTAGGGTGTCAAATCTGTAGAATTTGTTGTTTGCCTCCTCTCCCCCCTTTTTGGGGGCTCAGTTAACTAAGAGCAACCATTATGTTGCAAATCCAGTGAAAGATTTTGAGCTGATTCATTTGCTATTTTTTGTTTTGTTTGGAATATCCGAACAATTTAAAAATAACTTGACAGGGTTTTTCTTTAGTTGGTGAAAATTCAGTGGTTCTGCATCTTTCCGTCCTCTTCGCTAGTTTTGTATAGATGGGGGCATTTCATTATTCACGTATGTGCAGTCAAATAATTTATGAAGCCGATACTAGCACTCTGCTCCACAATAAAGTGCATGTTCTGGATTATCTTCATTTTGGTGCACTTTCCAAACACTTCTGGATTGGTGTTTCAACTGAGTCCCCTTCGTCAGGCTACTCATCTATCTGACACCTCTAGTCTTCCTTCTCCAAGTGCATCTGTCAAAGTCTTAATGTGCTCATGACTATCCTGGGACTTGGGACCCAGGGAAGGAGTAAGCATAGTCAAAATGCGAGGTTCTGCATGCTGCTCTCCAGTATCTGCAGATTGTCACAGGAAATATGTAGCACGGTGAGTGAAAAGTTGAGAAGAGCAAAAGAATGTGTGGAGGCCACTGGTGGGGTTAAGGCCTCTCCTAATGATGGAGTCAGGGCCACTCTCAAGGGGTGGGGGGTTATTAGTGTTCCTTTTGACCTTGTTTATTCCTAATTGACATAAGTGTTTTCTGTGCATTTGTGGCTAAAACACGGTGAACATGTGGTTCTTTTCTCTCTTGAGTAACTTTCCCTCCTTCATGCCTTTTATCAGAGCAGGCCTAATCAGATTTGGGTGGTTTGAAAAATAAGACTGTACAGTGAGAAGTGGGCATCTGCCTTAGGTGATGGTCACAGCAGATGGTGGTCTTTTTAGTGATAAATGGGTTGGGAATAGAGACAGCAGCGAGGTCTGGCACAGGGAGTTTGGATTTCCCTTTCCCAGATGAGTGTCCGGAAGATTCAGGTCATTTAACACACAGAGCAAAAACCAAAGAAATGAGGTCCTAGCCAGGGTAGGAAATTTGGTACCTTGCGGGCAGTCTAGAAGGCAACCTGCAGGCCACATGTGCTCCATCGGGGTTCTGCGTGTGGCCCAGGAAATATTGTTTCCTGTTGCCCACGCCCAAGGTTGCTAGATTCCACTGGATTCCATCTGCATAGTTATTCCCTACTGGCGTTACTAAAGTGGCACGCACTTTAAAGCAAGGGCACGTGAAGTGAAGTGAATGCTGATTGCACACAACACTGGCTGCGAGAGCCAGGCGCTCCCTCTGCATCCAATCAAAGCGCTGCTACGGTTCAGTCGGCACCCCCGCACATTCTAGGTACGCCAGCGCAGTGAGCAAAACTACCCTGTCCTATCCCGGGAGACCATCTTGTGGCCCAGCGAGAGGGGCTGCTTCTCACTGCTCAACTACTATGAATTGTAATAGGCTGATGTGTTACTGGTCTGTTAGTACTCATGTATCAGTGCTTGAACCCCAGTATCCATTATCCAGCCGGTCTTGCACATCTCTGGTCTTGTCTCAAAACCACGAGAGTTCTGTTCATGACGAGAAGTTAAATGTGGCTTTCGTTATAGTCTCATGTTTCTCGTGCCCTAAGTACTCAGCGTCCTTTGGACAGGGTTTTCCTATAGATGTATGTTGAGATGGAGATATCGTGTAAGGAAAAATACGACATTTCTAGTGACAGCTGGAAGTGTTGATTTGTTTTCATGTAGCACCAGGTGCTAGGGGGAAGGTTAGACCCAGCCTTTGGTTTGGGTATTAGCTGCAGGAGTGGATATACACACGCTGTAAATCAATGCTATTCTTCACCCTGTGTGGTGTGCGCTTGTCACAGCTACGGAACACTGGCCAACCTAGCAGGATATATTCATTCTGGCAGCCTCTGATATGGGTTACAAAGTGAGTCAAATCGGACCACCAGAGCAGACACGGGATTGCTTCATAGTAGACTGGCCCTTTGGGTGTTGCACTGGGCCCTGGAAGGTTCAGGCTCTGTGGTAGCTGCTTTTGCTTCTCTTCACTTCCTCTTACCCCTGCAGAGTTTGCTATAAGGTCCCAGAGTCCATCCCAGACAGTAATAAAAGGCTAAGGGCATTTATGATGGCGGGGTTTTCTCGGCTGCATGCAGAGCCCACCTAGATATTACAAGGCAGGCTCCCCAGAAAGTAGAGGTGTTTTGAAATCATGTCAGAATGACACATTCAGAGATCCCTCAAGAGTGATATTAAACTAAAAGGGAAGCATCATAAATGGAGGAGAAAGACCAAGAGGATGATGGCCTTTCCTCAGCAGGAGAGTAGGCACTTTGGACTTGCTATAAGCAGGCCATTACAATATATGCCTAAAAACATCTTAGTTGCTGCATGAACACTAAAACCCAGCAGATCTCATGCTGGTATAGCATAGTAGGAACAAGCTAGGTTAGGGAAGCCAGACAGATAGAAGGGAAGCAGACCTAGTGGTT